CGTGATTTAGCGCTATCACAAACCATCACGAATTAGTTGAAGTTAGAATTCATGGGCCATTGAAGAGTCGGGTCCCAGTGGCTGAATGGTATACGAGCCTGCCTTGTAACTGGAAGGTCCTGAGTTTGAACCCCACGATGCTGGTTCATACTGCCGATGATTCCCAAATTAGGATGAAACGGTTATCCAGTACTCCTTGTTGGTTCTCAATGGTTCGCTAACTGATATCAATCTGTCGTCGAACTCGTAAAAACAAATCTAATCCTTATAAACCAACTACTGAAAATTTACAGGTTTGTCCATGGATTCGAGAACATATACCATCTTGATTCAGTTAGAGAGTGGGGGAGGGGGCGAAATCAAATACAACATAAAATGCTCAGTTCTATACATGATCCTGTATTGATACTCTATACCACATTCTCTAGTCATTATCGCACACTCAGTTCACCTACATTTTCTAGATATATAGCTAAAGCCGCTGAATTAAGGTTGACTAAACTGTGACTTTGTATTCAAAAAGGAACACGTTCAGGCGTTCAGGCTTTCATGGCGAAACTTGGATTAGAAGATTTCTTACCCTTTGCAAGAGTGCCTCTTCTGCTTATCTCTCTTTTGGTTTGTTTATTATAATAATAATGGTTATTATTATAATTTATTCCACTTTATACCCTTAATTCTAGCATTCTTTCAATACTATTGACTTTTCCATTTATACTATTCTAACACAATATGAGTGATATCATCTCTCTTTTAAATAAGACATTTAGAAGACAAATTTCGCGAGATGATATCGTCATTTCTTAGTTGCTCTACAATCGCTTTACAACTAGCAGCATGGTTCACAATAATTAAATTAAAATTAAAGGCATGACAATTACTCAGTTATATATATATATATATAAAACAAAAGTACATACTGATGACCATTCATACATTTAAATAGGTCAAGTAGTCAGATCATGGTCGGCGAAGACTGAAATCTATTGTATTTTGGACACAAAGTTTAGGATGTATGTCAACCTTTAATAACCAACCTTAAGTTAGAGTTGTGTGAAATAATTGTGAAGCAGTGATTGATGCTGACTTTGTGACCTGATATTATTAAGTGATTTCCAATGGATGATGATGGATTTCTATTCAGATTAATTACATAGGGATTTTCTGTGTGTCTTAATAACCATTTTTGGAAGGTGTTCTTTTCGACGACCACATTTATTTTGATTAGACCTTGATGCCACACCGTATTTTCAGTACAAGTATGGACTTTTCAGCATGGATATCGGTAGCCCAAATTTTGCAGGCCGACCATAGATATCGGGTGTGCGTCGGCAGGGGATCGAACCCCGGACCATGTGCGTGGTCGGCGAGATTCCTAACCACTGTGCCACTGACGCACATTGGAACATTCTACCTATATATGTGTACCTATATGTGTAGGTGTTCACCGCCAATGTAGGTGAACTTGTAGATACAGTTTGAAGTAAAGTCTATAGAATTTTGTCCTTTAATCATAAGTACAGGGATCGAAAATGTTCGGCATGTGAGGGAAAGAGATTCAGCCTAGAATAATGTTCTCTTGATGGCTGACCGAAGTCTTTGAGCAAGATGTCGACTGTATAATTTGATCACCCTTGAATGGTAGGTTATTAATAAAGATAGCTTTCTTTAGTACAGAAGCTGTCTTTTCCAGATGTGGTCTATCCTTATTGTGACAATTGATAAAGTTTTCTGGATAACCATTAGCTAATAAAACTGAATTTATATGTCGGAGATCATCCATCGATGTGTCACTCGTGCATATGTTGCGGGCCCTTGAGAACTCTAATTCAAGTGAACTGTCGTCAAGACTTGACAGAATAGTTCTAAAATATTTGAGCGCCGAGTGAGAAGTAGACATTTGTAAAAAATTATATTGGTAAAATCTCAGCGAGATTGAAATGAGTAATTCCAACGTTTCGTTCGGCAATCTGGTCCGAACTTCTTGAGGGAAATTAATCGAAATTAACATAACATAGGTTTATATATAAAAGAAACATCACTAGTTTTTAAAAACATATAAACTGTGTGTACAAATAACAAAAGACTTCAGCCTTCGCCTACCATGGACTGACTACTTGACCTATTTAAATATGATTGGTCATCAGTATGTACTTTTGTTTTATATAACTGAGTAATTGTCACGACTTTAATTTTATTTTAATTATTGTGAACTATTTACCTCACAAGTTAATTGGTGGATAGTGACTAGCAGTAGGATCCAAGATGCGCATTTCGTCCTATTTGGGACTCGTCAGCCAGCTGGATGTGCCTGCATTCAGTTCACAGTTTTATTATCTCCACTTTTCATTAACATACTAAGTAATCACTCAGCTGACATCTTTTATAACCTTGAACTGGAATTGTCGATTTCCCTTCCCACCCCTCTGCTCATATTGTATATGAATCGATTATGACTAGTCACCATCCTCATCGTCTCACATTCCACATACTTCTGTAATTGTATGCAGCCGAGTAACTCTGTAACGCGTAAATACTATTTGTTTTAAAACAAGCAATAAAGATTAATAAAGCAGGATTTAATGATGGATTCGTCAAATTTCGGTAGAACTCGTCAGCTGAATACTTTACTTACACAGATATATATACTTTTGAAATTACATTCGGAGATATAGGACTGATAAGTAAATAAACTACATTGAATTAGTCATGCAGACAGACAGGTGCGAATGTTTTTCCAGGTCATGTTCAATTAGACAAGGGGAGAGAGAGTATGGGAGATCAAAATTAAGATAAATTGCATTACGCTTCAATTACATCACTTAGATAAACAATTAGACATTAGAGAATTTAACAAGAATTGCAACCAGAGGGATGTCAATAGTAATAGTTATAATAGCAATAACAATAATAATAGTGTTGAAGTGAGTTAAGATAATGCTACTGATAAAGGATAGTTTTAAATGAATCAAGAATAATAATAATGAGAATAATAATAGTAATAACAAAACAATAATAAGAGGTAGAATTATAAGTAAAACGTATTACCATGGTAGATTCAGAGTCATGACCATCTCCTTTTGTACACAGAGACCTGGTTTATAAACTCGAATTGCACAAGCCTCCTCAGCAACTGCAAGCATCTTCTTGTTTCTTTGTCTACTGACAATGGTGAATGACTTGACCGCCTCGATATCATGTCCGTAATCCACAGCTGTTTTCAACCATTTTGGCAAATGCTCCATCATGCCAGTAGACAATCTCCTTTCCGTACGACGTATGTATTTGCTTCCACAAACAAACTGAAATTGATATACACAGTTTGAAGTGTCGAGGATTGGCTACTGGCCTTTCCCAGATTGTTGAAGCACTCGCTATTTGTTTTGATTGGTTGGGGAATTTCATCATGAGCTGACATCAGTTAGAGAACCATTGGAAAACCAGCCACAGGGGGTACTGCCAGACACTTTTTTCGTCCTAGTTTGGGACTCTTCATCGGTACATTTATCAAATCCATCCTTCATTGTGTTGTCAAAGTTATCAATGTCATTAAAGGATGTGTATGAAATTAAATTTAGAAATTTATTTTTCCAACAGCGCTAGTTTTTAGGGATTTCGTTTATTTCAAGTGTATGACCACGGACTGATATCAGTTAGAGAACCAATGATGACTAGAGAGTGGTAGATAGCTGTTTCGTCATTGTTTTGTACTCATCAGACCAGTAGTACGCATCCAGTACATTCCGGTTTCAAGGTAACCTCGTAAGCCATTCAACTACTGGGATCCGACCCCAATGATCAGTCCATGAATTACGACTCCTATGAATTCTTCGTTTCATATTTTAATATTAGACAGAAAGAAACAACCAGCTCATTGAAAAGAGGCAGATCCATGGTTAATTTAGAGGTTGGATTAGTTTCTGTCTCCTGAACATATAACTCCGGCTTCTTGATGCATAGGACAAGGAAGTTCGGAAACACACCTTTACTAGATATTTGATCACATTTTACAGTTGCTTTTGAGAATGAAATCGTTGGAAAGATATTTGTTTTCTGAGCTTCTTGTTCTTTTCTCCGTAATGTCACGATGGTTATTTTCCATGATATATAAATGTTAACAGTTGAGAAATTGAGAAAATGCTGACTGGTATTCATGATATTTGACTGCATTTCAGAATATCGATTGGTTGCTTGTAACGCAAAGCTCCCATTGACTGGACACACCAGCATAATTTATGAAGTTCGGTTGAATAGTAGACTTTTCAGTCCAGTGATTTTGATAAACTGGTTTCGACAGCTGCTACAACTTCAATGACAAGTTAAAGAATAGCGATGCGTGAGTACGAACGCATTGATGACCTTGAGCGCATACTATTGGTTGGATGACGGGACCTACTATTATTTCAGCGTCATTTTGATCACTCTGCACGTAATGACGTGTTTGGATGATGGGTTGATAGCTTGTCAGGGTCAGGAGTAGTAGGGCTGGGGTTCGGGTTGGGTTTTTTTTATTCTTATTATCCGTATTTTCCTAGTAAAAAGCACCATTTTTACGTAATACAAATACTGGTCATTCTGATTGGTCCTCTTAAGGTCAATCGTTCGTTCTCATTGCTTCAGTCGCTATTTTTTACCTTTGGCCACTTCAAGAAGTTTGAAAAATTGGAGGACTCTTGTGAAGATTAGCTAGCCAAACGGAAGACCTACCAAATGACTTCGAAAAACCAATCAAAGCATCCATTCCATCAAGGGGCTACTCTTCCATTTTACCGTGATCCTTTGTCATGTGGAATTAGATTAAGGATCCGCTTAGGGTTCGCCTCTCTGAACTCAATTGAACAGGTTGTACTACTGATGAACTCTGTCCAAAGTTGATAGAATTTAAGTTTATAGAATCCCTTTTTTGCTTACAATTGTCATTTGATCGATAGGCAGTCTGTTAATAAGCTTTTCTCCCTCTCTCCCTCTATCTCTCTCAACTTCATCTACACGCACTTCAGTCCAACCTTCTAAGCGTATCAACGAAAAGACAAGATTCAGAAGATCATCAAAATGGTCAGGTGAACACATCGTCATCTTCTTCTCCTTCTTCAGATCAGCTGCCTTTATCGATTGATTTAGAGAATACCAATGAATCAACAGCTTTTGACACGCTGATGGATCAATTCATTCATCTGCTCGATCGTATTCTACAATGTGCTCAATCTGATCTAATCACTGGACATCGGTCATCATCACACAGAGATGTTGTGAACACGGTGAAAAGTCGTTCATTCCATCTAGCGCCTGCATATGCAATGTATTTAACCTATAGAGCGTGTATTAAAAAGTTGAACGCATCGAATCAATTCCAGCCAGTTGAACGAGATCATTATATTTCACATTTAACAAATTATATGGCTACTCGAATATATGAGGTAATGTAACATTGTAAAATTTTGTTTATTTTTTAGTATTCTACTGATTTATGAATATAAGTAGTACATGATTATATTGTTTAAGTCAATTTTTTTTTAATTTTCCCATTGATTGACTGGACAGAAATATTCGGTCTCTGTTGAGATGCTAAGCTCCAAGTAAGGACGCTTCGATAATGTCTGAGAATTGAAGTAATTTGATGAATGGTGAAAAGCAGGGGATTCCAGGAGGAGCATTTCTTTGATTTGACACTAGTACTTAGTGTGATGTTTCTAGTCCTTGGTGTTTTTGGTGCAGAGTGAATTCTGTCAGTCAGTCAGTCAGGTTTGTAATGTGGTCATCATGGTGCATTTTGAATTCTTGATATTAGAGAGTTGGAAGCAATCGGCAAGAAGTCTATGTCTACCTATGTCTAATTATAAGTTAATGCCTAATTCAGAATATATTAAAATCTTTTGAAAGCTTTCAGTTAATATGAAATTGTAGTCAATAAAAGTCCTGTGATTGATTAACAAGACCCTTTATTTAACTGTAAGGCATTACAAATTTGATGGAACTGATGCGTTTTAACTGTTGCTTTGTACTCATATTGTGACCAGTAGGGTGCAGCAGGTCAGGTGTGAGGACAAATACTCGCCGAAGGAGTTGCCTAGGGGTCGCGCTATGTCGTGAATTAGCAGAAGTTAGAATTCATGGGCCATTGGATCGGGTCCCAGTGGCTTAATAGTATACGAGGTCGCCTTGTAACCAGGAGGTCCTGGGTTCGAATCCCGGTGGTTGCGTACTACTGAAGAGTCCCAAACTAGAACGAAACAGCTGTCCAGTACTCCCAGGTTTTCCAATGGTGATGAAAATCCTGTAACCAATCAAATCCCTACAAACCAACACTTGAACATTATTTGTGAAGGTTGTATTAAAATGGTGCTTCAGTGGACTTGTGTTACATCCTCAAGAGGGATTTGTTGTCTTAATGTTCCAGCATTCTTATTGAGTGTTAGTGTAATGACAGAAGACAAGGGCTAGGCAATAGATCGTTAATTGAGAAAATCAAGAGTAATTTATAGATTTTTATGTACATTATTATTATTAGCATTACTCTTACAAGAGAAGCAACGTCTTCTGATTGGTCGTTTTCTTGCTGAAGGTTATTTTGTTATCTCTTTCTCAGAAAATCAAGCGAATATATCTGCGGATCATATTTCCACACGTTAACTCCGCTGTGATCGATTGGCTGATGGTTTTTTCAAGGTTAAGCTTTGTTATTGTTTTTCTCATGATCCTGATTCAGGAGGTAAACATTGCAGACAGCTCTCACCACAATTTTGTAATTCTAATTCTCAGTGAGAATATTATCATTCCCTAAGATGCAAGTATACCCGGCTAACAATTCCTGTATAGAACAAAACGCCTATCCTGGATTCTACTACGAGCCAGCATCAACTGTATAAGACGAAGTTAACCTTGAGGGGTCTTCAAGGCGTCCATGTCTAGAGCCCACATATCAACGGAAGCTTCCACTGAGGAGGTTCATAAGTAGTGATAAGTTTGTTGGTTGCTACACTTGTCTAGTCCAACTATATCAGAAAGAATTCCAAAAAAACTCAACATCAATCAATTCAAAGTAGTTGAAATCATGAAACAAAACACCTGATATCTCATGGACGTCTTCCAAAACATGGGTATCCACGGAACTTCATCAAAGGACATCTACCCTCAAGCCAACCTACCAAGTCAAAGACACCCAAGGAAAACACAAAGAAAATCATCTTACCATATATCAAGGACGTCTCAGAAATCACTGCAGGACTCTTCAAACACCTTTAGGAATTGACATCGCACACAAACCAACAAAATCACTTCACTCAGCTGGTTCTATGTCAACCAAAAGACTCCACAACGAAAGAAGATAAAACCAGCATCATCTAGAAAATAAACTGTAACAACTGCGAAAAACACTACACTGGCCAAAGTGGACGACGTCCTCTTTGTCTTCGTGTCCATCATCATAAGCTATGCGTCAAAAGACATGATATCCACTCCCTCGCTCATATCGCCTCACCACATACAGACAACCACGGACATCAATTCGACTGGGACAACGTTAAAATATAAGACAAAGGAAACAACACAAATGCTAGAGAATTTTTACAAGCCTGGTATTCCAGTGAATCATCAATCAATAGACACATTGAGATAGACAAAATTTACCAACCGATAAGAAGGAAACCTCACACACAAACTGTCAAAGTTCAAGTCAAGGAAACAATCAACACCAATACAAATACAAGTAGCCTGGAGGGTGTGAAAACACACGAAATCAACCACTCACGTTCAAGGTTACCCACCAGGAAAGATGACTAATAAACTTGTGGAGAAATCTAAAAGCTCACTTCAACATATTGAAGTGTGCGCTGAAGATGTTGCCTAGTAGGGGGCAATGAAAGCTTCGCAACCATGAACTATCCAGCTTAGAGAACACAGTCACATCAAAAACAAAACACCTACCTTCTCAGGTCCGTCAGTTTTCATATGGGGAATTCACGACCATTTTTGTAGTCCTTTTTGGACAAAGCAACCATGCATCCACAGTAGGAGATTTAGTAGTTGGCGTCTCTTTCTGATTTTCAGTACTACCCGAAGATTTCCGCCATGACGCAGACGTCTAACACAAGGAATAATACACGGATTTCAGAAAAAAACAAGGTAGTTAATGCTTAGCTGAATATTTCATAAACTGAAGGCATCATAATGATGGAATCATCCACCTTTCCACACTTGTTCAGAGTTGATATCATCAACAATACGTTCGGATAAATTCGGCTGATGCAATATAAATAATATGTTCAACGAATACACTTATCGAATATTGAGTTAACGACAAATAGTAGTTATATATATATATATATATATATATATATATATATATTCAAAATAATAATTATAGTAACATGGGCTGAGTAGCGGGCATCTGTTAAGAATGCCGAAATCTGATTGGTTGGCTGCCGCCTGACCAACAGACAGATAGTCAATATTTATATGATTTGAATTCTGACCGATAGACTATAGAGTTAGTCTATAGTCGTGCATAAAAGAAATCAGTGAGACCGCATGTTTTTGCTTATCAAGTTTGATTTGCAGGGATTTGACTGGCTACAGGTTTGTTCCTGTGCTGACAACAGTTGGAGAACCACCACGATCGCGGATTTCACTTAGGACGGTTACATGATGAGCTCGTAGATGATTCAGCCACAGGGACCCAATAGAACGGCCCATCAATTCCAGCTTCTGTCATCTCGCGATAGGTGTAACCCAACTGCCAGCCAGTGTCGTAGGGGAGTAACTGTCCTCTTACCTGACTTGTCAGACCTCGCCACTGAAGAGTCTCAAACTTGGACGAAACAGCTGTCCAGTAATCCCTGGCTTTCCAGTGGTTCTGTGACTGATGTCAACCTGAAAAATATTTATTTCTCAGCATTCTGAAAAAAGCATTTTTACAAAATTGTCAACTAGTGTGCAGCTTTCAAATGTATAGATTCGCTGTCAGTAAGGTAACACTGGTCTGAGCATTACAAAGACTATACAGGAAGTGGTTCAAGAGTATCCCTCAGGATGATGAATATTAACACCCAAAATTCATAAGTCACACAAATACTCTATCACATTTATTTTCGACATCTGACACTAGTTTACAATAGCTCCAAGTAATGTGTATCCTAATTTTAAGCTAATGTTAACAGGTACGGGCTCTACTTTCGTAGTTTTCCCAATTATTAACGAATCATGGAGGAGAGCTTGTCTTTTTTTTAAGGAATTATGCGGGTGGCTATGTATTTCTAACCGTCCAGAAGCAACATTAGTGTTGCGTGATCACTGAGCCCAGAGGATAACATTTTGAGACCTGTCACACGCAGCCTGCTTGAATTCGTTTTTTTAAGAATTTTGTGTATATACAGATATTAGCACCGCCTACGAATCACCGCAGGATAAGTCGGTAAGTCCTCCGCAGAGTTGAGAGACAGTATAACTGTCCCGCTGGTCGTCGAAGTGAAACACTTTACTGCTATTATTACACGTACGACTTCGCCCTCTGACCCCTTAACATAATCTGAGTGACTTACACTTTGATGGCAACTGATTTCAGCCTAACTGCAATCTGATCCAACCTTTCTGGAATGGAAAGACCTGTAGCCAGTGTAAGTGTTCGGGTCATGGCGATATGTAAGCCCGACCACCACTTCAAGGTAGCAGTTATCGATTAATTAAACACGTTTTGTGATTTTTCCGTTTCATTCCTTGCAACATATCCATTTTTTTTTATTACAGTCCGTACCAAATTTCAATCGTAACTCGAATACTGATCCCACATTAATCAAACCGCTAACTTATTGGCTTGGCAATAGTAGTGAACTGCTACACTTCTTTAAAAACGATATTGATCTCTGTTCGTCGAATCGATCAAAAGGCTGGGATCAAAAGAATGACCGAAGTCAAACGGATGGACTGCCAGCATCATCATCATCATCTATGGTTTGTAGAGATGCTCTACATATTCTTGCTGAGACTGTTGACCATTGTTTCTATTATCTACGTTCAGTTATGACTGGTATCCTGCAACCATGGTTGATGTGTTTAACATATCCGGGGGATTTAGATTTACAGGTGAGTGAATCGACTGTTTACAGATTTCTCTGTATCCAAGTTTTGATTATTATTATTATTTTTATTATTATTTTAATGTGTTTCTTATGCGTGCGTGTGGGCCGGTGTTTATGACTCCAACTATTAGAGCACACTCTGAAGTGAGAAACCTCTGACGAAGCTTCATTAAACTCTCACTAGCATAAGAAGAAGAATTAGCGGGATTCGACCTCACTGAGTATTTCTGTAGAGTCCTCAGTATTGGAGTTTCGTCCTAGTCCTCCTCTCTTCAGCCATGCACATAAAAACCTCACCATCAGGGATTGATCGCATGATCTTCAGGTTACGAGGAATGTTCGATGCCCATCAGGCGACTAGGTTGGGTTCCAGTGACCCGTTACTTCCAGCTTCTGTTATCTTCCGATATAGAGCTAGGGTTAATCAGCACCGTCGATAATCATCCACGTCATCATGACATCGTTACTGAATGAACACTCTTGAGCTCTAATAGGAAATTGTGGAAATTACGGTCCAACATATCAGGATGAAATGAGTAGTCATCGGTGGTATTGGTTGGCAGTAATAGTGTTTAGGGAATTCTCAGCAGTTGTAATAAACTGACCATCGAAATTTCAGCTTAGTGACTGAGGATCATTGAATCTTTGTTTATCGAGTCAGCATTGCATGCATGCAGTCGGAATGATACAGTGTCTATACCGAAGACATAGAAAGTGGCAAAAAACAACAAAGGGAAGTTGGCGAGAGAGACGGAAAGAGAGAAAAATGTATACATAAGACAAATTGTGAAACCGTGTAACTGAAAGTGATATGATTATGAGTAGCAATAATTTATACTCGAAACCTTGTCATAGTTGTTGGGACGCTTGACTACCATGCACATGGTCCGGGGTTCGATCCCCGGCTGACGCACACCTGATACCAATGGTCGGCCTGCTAGATTTGGGCTACCGATATCACATGCTGTGAATTTCATACTTGTATTAAAAATACTGTGTGGAGTTAAGCTACAATGTAAATTAAAAATAATATTGTATTACTGTGTGATATTTAGAAATAAACTTATCTAATATAGTAGTGACGCCACTACTGGAGAAGGTGTGGAAAGAAGGCAAAGTACCCGAGGATTGGAAGAAACGATACTTATTCAAACTACCAAAGAAAGGAGACCTAAGTCAATGCAAGAACTGGCGCGGAATCATGCTCCTGTCAATCCCAAGCAAAATACTAAGCCGCATCATTCTGGAGAGAATTAAACAAGCCCTGGATGAAAAACTTCGACCGGAACAGGCTGGATTCAGGAGAAACAAGTCATGCATTGATCATATCGCCACATTACGGATCATCATTGAACAAAGCTTGGAGTGGCAGTCACCTCTCTATCTCAACTTCATCGACTTTGAAAAGACCTTCGATAGCGTCGATCGAGAGGTGCTTTGCAACTACTTCGCTACTACCAAGGGGTGCCACCGACAATTATACATCTCATCCAACAGCCATACGACAATGCTGCATGCCAAGTAATCCACAACGGGAAACTCACGGAATCCTTCGAAGTGAGGACAGGAGTAAGACAAGCTGGCTGCCTACTATCGCCAATGATTTTCCTGATTGCAGTAGACTGGATAATGCGACAAACAGCGGGCGATGAAGAAACAGGCATAAAATGGACTCTCACAAAAAACTTGGAAGATCTGGACTTCGCCGATGATTACATATGTCTGATTTCCCACAAACTGGAAGATATGCAAGAGATGAAAAGCAACAGGTTGGCGGAAGAAACATCAAAGATAGGAAGGACTTCAGGTGAACATAGAGAAAACAGAGGTAATGAAGATTACTGGATAAGAACAACAACAACAGACAACGATCAGCATAAATGGAAGGAACCTGAGAGAAACAACCTCTTTTACCTACATACCTACGTGGGAAGCATCGTTTCAACTACAGGCGAGCGGAACTGACGAGGGTATCAAAACAAGAATCGGAAAAGCAAAACAAGCTTTCACTACTCTCAAGTCTGTGTGGAGGTTAACACTCAGCATGGAAAATAAGATCAGGATTTCCAACTCCAATTTGAATTTAGTGCTACTCACTACACGGATCAGAGACTTGCACTGCGCGTCATAAAGAGCATCTGAAACAAACTACAGACCTTCATCAACAGTTGTCTTCGCTCAATACTCAAGATCAGATGGCCGGCCAGAAAAGATCAGAAGCAGGGATCTCTGGGAGCGAACCAACACAGCAGGAACCAACCGATTGTGAAACAAATAGGCAGGAAGAAATGGAGGTGGATTGGCTGGCCATACTCTAAGGACACCATCAAGTGACATCACTAGACAAGCCATTGCTCGAGTGGAACTCGAAAGGGAAGCAGTGAGTTGGTCGTCAGTGCAAGGGTGACTTAGAGGAGGTCATGTGAAGAGGAGATGAAAACGTGTGGTCAGACTTGGAGCCAGGTGAAAACTCTAACAGAGAACCGAACTCAATGGAGACGCACGGCTGAAGCCCTATGTTCCTCTAGGAATTGAAGGATACAATAATAATAATATAGTGACTCAGGGTCTATCAACAGACTATGTAACCTGAAGATCCTGACTATTTGATCCCCAGTACGATATCTGGTGCACATAGTTGAAGAGTCCCAAACTAAGACGAGATGAATGGCCAATATTCCCTGATTTTCAGCAATTCCTCCAAATCTTATCAGTTTGTAATCAACCTTGAAACCAGTCAAATTCCTACAAAGTAACTCTTGACAACTAATCGAATACTCACTAGTGACTGATTGCAGAAAGAAGTTGCCTGGAGTTTTAGTGAAAAGTTATGATAAGTGGTCAAACCTGTACCTGTACCTCAACTTCCTTTACTTCCGAAAGGCTTTTGACAGCGTTGTGGCAGAGTAATTTAGAAACTGCTTCAACACTACGGTGTGCAGCACCCCAAATCTTTATCAACCTCATTCAACAGCTGGTTATACGACAATACGAGATGCGTCAGGTGATCCACAAAGGGAAACTCAGTGAGGCGGGTGTTCGAAGTGCATACAGGAGTAAGACATGGCTGGCTGTCCATTATCACCAATGATGATATTCCTAATTGTGGTGGACTGGATTATGCGTCAGACTGTGGGGAGCGAGGAGACAGGGATGCGTTGGACTACTGATAAGAAGACTGAAGAGGATATGGATTTCGCATGTGGATAATTTATGTCTGATGTCACACAGACTCGAAGACTTACAGGTGTAGGCGAAAACCAACAAACTGGCGGAAATGGCTGACTGGAGGCGAAGGTAGGACACTAGGTGAAAATGGAGAAGATGGCGGGGATGAAGATAACCAACTTAAAAGTAGCAACAACAACCAGCACTAATCACCATCAACGAGAGAGAGATTTGACAGGGGTTACTTCCTTCACTTATCTGACCAGGAAGCACTGTTATAACCACAGGCAGTCGGAAGGGATAAAGATTTTGAAACCAGCCAGAATAGGAAAGGCAAAATGCACCCTTGTCAACCTGAAACCAGTTTCAAAATCTTCAGCAATGACTAAGTATAAAGAACAAAATTCACATTCTATTCAACACGAATGTGAATTCCTAAACGGGTCAGAAACTTGGCGTGGCATGAAAAGGATTTCCAACAGCCTGTTGCAGACTTTTGTCAACAGTTGCCCACTCCCCTCACTCTATGCTGAAGATCAGATGGCCGTCCAGCCGGGTAGAAATAATTAGTAACAAGAAACTCTGCAGTGGAACAAACCAACAGGCGAGAGCCGATTGCTCAACAAATACGTAAGAGAAAAAATGATGATGGATCGGGCATATATTGAGGAGGCCATCGAATGGCATCGCATGGAATGCAGTCCATCGCTTCAGTGGAATCCCAATGGGAAGCGACGAGTGGTTCGTCAGTGAGGCTGGGTCCACCAAGTCGAGTCACCAACGTCATTGACTAGCAGTCACGCTATCTATATATCCCGAACTCACAGAAGTTAGAATTCATGAGCCGTCCAATTGGCTTGATTGTCTACAAGCTTGAACTCATAACCTGAGGGTCCCGGGTTCGAATCCTGGTAGGAACACAGGTGAGAAACGGTTATCTGATGACCTATGGGTTATTTACAAAATCTCCAACGGAATAAATCGGAAAACCTACAAAACTTGTAAAACTCTGAATTGTAATCTAAATTCCATTTTGTCTAAACAAGCGTACACAGAATGAATTTACTAACCTTTCAGAGTATAAAAGTTCATCTCATTCATTATGTATGCACATGTGAAAAGATTTTTATGTTTATTTATTATTATGGAGACTTATTTATTCTTTTTGTTCTTCAGTTACATAATAGTACCACCAATCAATAAAATATGCTAATTTATTTGTCGACATCATTTTTTTTTTCTGCACACTCATCAATCATTCCTATTGATTTAACAATATGTAAATGAAGAGTCTTCAAGCATGCTACCATATAAGTAATAATCTATAAAGGTGTAGTTCTTTATTCTTTAAGACACTAAACCAATAATTCATGAGCTCGAATCCTTGTTGTTTGTTGCAACTTTGCATATCTCCGGTGTAGGCGTTGCATCATTTTGATTTCACGTGTTGACCTCTATCTGACTCTGTCCCACCTTATTTTGTGATGACATGCAAATGAATACAATATACAAACTCTGAGCTCTATTTTCTAGGTTATTCAACTTAGCAGGGTCAGTCATCCTAGGTCTAGCTAAATTTTCATGCTCCCATAATCTAGTTGACTCCTATCTACTGTTTTGACCTTTGTAATTGACCTCGCTCACAGTCATCATGTAACATGGAAAACCAGCTGGGAGTACTGCCAGACAGACATCTGTTTCGTCAGCCTAGTTTAGGACTCTGCTTCAGCAATACGCATCCATACCACAAGGTTTCTAACCCAAGACCTTCTGGTTACAAGGTGAGCTAGCTCATAGACCATTAATCCACTCACTGGGATCCGATCCAGTGCCCAGCCCATGAATTCTGACTTCTTCTAATTCATGACATAGCCATGGGCTGTTCCACTGGTTGAATGGGCTACGAGCTAGCTCGCCTTGTAACCAGAAGGTCCTGGGTTCGAACCCTGTGGTATGGATGCGTATTGCTGAAGAGTCCCAAACTAGGCTGACGAAACAGCTGTCTGTCTGGCAGTACTGCCTGTGGCTGGTTTTCCAATGGTTCTCTAACCGATGTCAGCTCATAATGAAATCCTCTAAATATTATTATTAGTGTTAAAAATTGTTGTCTGTCTTGCTGTTTCATTTAAACTCCAATATGTTGAGAATGTATTTCTACCTACTTATGAGTAGTATGCATGCAGTATGACTGACTGAACGTCTTTCATTGTTATTTATCTTTCTGTTCTTTGTTTAGGATGACATACTTCTCGACGATAAACCGATAGATCCAACAGAAAGTTGGAATAAGCATAAAGAGCCAGTCAGTATGCAAATTATTTTACAGTACTTCACCTACTTGATGCAACAGCTGAGGAAGTCACGTGTTAACGCCGCATTGACTTTCCAGTTATACTCACAATTATTTCATTTAATCGGTGCGCATATATTCAATACAGTGTTAATCGATACAGAGGCTAAACCAAGGAATGTGTTAAGTGATGGTAATTTATGGTTGACACGACTTGGTGCATCCCGATTGAACAGGCGATTGGATAGGATTAAAAGATGGGCGCATAAACAAGGTCTTGAACTGGCTGTTGAATGTCGTCTACAACGATGTACACAGGTAAACTGGTAATTTTGATTTTTGAATGTATGACTGGGTGATGCGCCGGAGGCGTCTGATGAGTGTATTATTATTATTGTTTCCTCTAATTCCTAGAGGAACATAGGGCTTCAGCCGTGCGTCTCCATTGCCTTCGGTTCTCTGTTAGAGTCTTCACCTGGCTCCAAGTCTGTCCGCATGCTTTCATCTCCTCTTCACATGACCTCCTCCAAGTCACACTTGCACTGACGACCAACTCCGCCGCTTCCCTTTCGAGTTCCACTCGAGCAATGGCTTGTCTAGTGATGTCACTTGATGGTTTGTTTCCTAAGAGTATGGTGGCCAATCCACCTCCATTTCTTCCTGCTTATTTGTTTCACAATCGGTTCCTGCTGTGTTGGTTCGCTCCCAGAGATCCCTGCTTCTGATCTTTTCTGGCCGGCCATCTGATCTTGAGTATTGAGCGAAGACAACTGTTGATGAAGGTCTGTAGTTTGTTTGAGATGCTCTTTATGACGCGCTGGGCAAGTCTCTGATCCGTAAAGTAGCACTGACTTCAAATTGGAATAAAAATCCGGATCTTATTTTCCATGCAGAGTGCTGATTGTTGACCTCCAAACAGACTTGAGAGTAGTGAAAGCTTGTCTTGCTTTTCCGATTCTTGCTTTGATATCCTCGTCAGTTCCGCTGGCTTGTAGTAGAAACGATGCTTCCCAGGTAGATAAAGGAGGTTGTTTCTTTCAAGTTCCTCCCATTTATGCTGGCTGATTGTTGTCTGCTGTTGTTGTTCTTGTCCAGGAATCTTCATCACCTCTGTTTTCTCTATGTTCACCTGAAGTCCTATCTTCTCTGGATGCTTCTTCTGCCAACTTGATGCTTTTCGCTTGCATATCTTCCAGTTTGTGGAAAATCAGACATACATCATCGGCGAAGTCCAGATCCTCCAAGTTTTTTGTGAGAGTCCATTTTATGCCTGTTTCCTCATTGCCCACTGTTTGTCGCATTATCCAGTCTACTGCAATCAGGAAAATCATTGGCGATAGTAGGCAGCCTTGTCTTACTCCCGTCTTTACTTCGAAGGATTTCGTGAGTTTCCCGTTGTGGATTACTTGGCATGCAGCATTGTTGTACTACTGTTGGATGAGATGTATTATTGTCGGTGGCACCCCGTAGGAGCGAAGTAGTTACCAAATCGCCTCTCGATCGACGCTGTCGAAGGTCTTTTCAAAGTCGATGAATTGAGATTGAGAGATGACTGCTATTAGAAGCTTTGTTCAATGATGATCCGTAATGTGGCGATCTGATCAATGCATGACTTGTTTCTCTTGAATCCAGGCTGTTCTGGTCGAAGTTTTTCATCCAGGGCATGTTTGATCCTCTCCAGGATGATGTGGCTTAGTATTTTGCTTGGGATGGACAGGAGCATAATTCCGCGCCAGTTCTTGCTTTGACTTAAGTCTCTAAATATGTCGATTTAAAATAAAAATGTATGACCAAAGTGAACTTTGTGTATCTGTGAGTTTGGATTCAATTCCCGGGTAGATATACTCATGAATGTCACCTGGTTTACTAGTAAATATAAGGCTCCGAAAAAAGGGGAGGCAGGTTTCAGTCTAGTGACGCCATGCTGTAAAGAAACAACTTTATCACCGGAGGAACTTCGAAATTTAAACACACGGAGTAAAATCAACTCCAACTCTTTGGGAGTTATTTCTAAACTTGGGCTGTTAGTCTGTGAAATGCTGACAAGATCGAGTAATACATCTCTATCTCTATGCGTAATTATCTCTAAATCTCTTGAGGATCTCGACTTTCTCTCTTGCGAAGATATTGTGTAAACCGTGGACATCATTTGAATTTACAAAAGCCTGAAAGAACCCAGACGGTGCCGAAGAAACTGTTATTTATAAGCGTTGAATTTAAAGGTGATACCACAAGCTGAGATCCTGAAGAATCGCTTATGCAGATCACACTGAGGAAAGTCTTCTTTACGGCTGAACTACGGATCAATTTCTACAGCCGACAAATGATCAGTGGATGTGTGAAGGATAAACTGCTGCTTTGGGCCACTTCAATGTGTGTTTATAAATTCACCTGCTCCCGCAGAGCTGGTTATATTGGCCATACAAAGAGCACACTTCCCAAACTCATCTCTGAACATTATCCGGCAAGACAGTTACTAGCTCAATTCTTGAGCACTTGGTGAACTCAAGCCACACAGCTCCACCATAGTCGTCTTTCAAGATCATCTACAAGGTGAGGCTAAATGGTACAAAGGGCGTCAGGTTTCGGTACCTGTTGGAGGCATTGTCAATTTTTTCATACAATCCCGAACTCTTTATACAGAAAAAGTTTGTCCAGTCTCTTATTCGACCATGGTCTTGACCTCTTCACTAGTCGTTCCTTGTAAAAACAAATTACAATTTTACTTTTAGTTTGCTTTTACTTTAATAATTATTTCACTATTATCATTCTCATATGTTCCGTTTGTACATTTTCACACCCTCTTCAGACCTGTTAAATTGAAACTCAACTACCTTTATTCTTACCCAATGGCAATTTTAACCTGATCAAATTTCTAACGCTTTCTTCCTTTGTGCCGTTGAGTATATTACGTAATTTACAACTTTAAATTTTTGACTTCTAAAGCCACTTCTGAGTAATTCTATCAATTAAGCCAGCCCTTATTACTTACTGATGGACTACTGTACATTTGTGGTAAATATAAATACGACTGTACAGCCTCTGATGAGATGATTTCGTTGACAAAGAGAATTTTTCTTCGCTGAATTTGTCTTTTATTTTCTTCATGACTCAATGGGTATTTTCAGTGATTTGAATTTACCATCAGAAGCTTAGAAGTTCAGGTAGGTAAGCAGCTGTGTGCTGTTGAAAGATTCTGGCAGTCTTTATGACACAGTTATAAAGTTAGAGCCTTCTTGAATTATTTCAGACGCGAAATAGAATCTCTACATGAAAAATAGATCTCTGATCTACTTTACTGGTAGGATAGAAAAGGTAAGACTGGCTTTCAACGCTGTGAAATCAACAGGGTACAGCAGGTTGAAGATGAGGTAGTAAGTAACTCATCGAAGGAGACATTGCGAAATGGTCGCGCTATGTCGTGCATGAATTGACAGAAGTTAGAATTCATGGACTGGCCATTGGATCAGGTCCCAGTGAGTGGCTCAATGGTCTACGAACTCGCCTTGTAACCAGAAGGTCCTGGGTTCGAACCCTGGCAGTTGGTGCGTATTGATGAAGATTCCCAAACTGGGCGAACGAAATAGCTGTCTAGTACTCCCTGGTAGGTTTCCAGTGTTTCTCTAACTGATGTCAGCTCATGATGAAATCCTCCATCCAATCAAATCAGTATAAATCAACATAAAGTAGAAGATTCGGATTTTCTACAATAATGTCAAGTCGGTTATTAGTTCTGTATGAGGCAGAAATCTCGTGCATCACTAGAACCAGCTCGAATATGCTTCAGACTTTTATCAGCAGTTACCTTCCATCTTTCCATACTGAAAATCAGATGGCCAGCCAGAAAGGATTAGCAGCGAGGGACTTTGGTAACCAACCAGCCAACCAATAACCTTTTACACAACAGATATTTTCCCAAGAGACTGAAGTCGTGTCGGACACACGCTGGGGAGACCGCTAAGTTATATAAAACGCTAAGCAAACCGTCGGATGGAACTCTTAAGGAAAATGACGAGTTGGGCATAGAGGAGATCGTGTGAAGAAGAGATGAAAGCTTATGGATAATCGTCCAGCTAGCTAACGACGACTGCATAAGTCAGGATGCAATGGAGGAGTGCTGTTAAAGCCCTAGATTCTACTTAGAAACCAATAGGAATAATAATAATACTCATTCTTATTGGTCGTTTGTCTTTGAGTGGTGTTTGAAGATGGCTGGTGGCACAATTCGAACCCGCAGGCAATAAATTACTAGCTATGGAAACCAACTATTAGGCAGATCACTTTTTAAAGATTTTATAGTCAAAAAGCCCAACTTTCGGAATAACCCATCAGGAGTTGACAGCGATTTCATTCTTTATGTTATGGGTGGAAAATAGGACTTAAAGCATAGCATTTTTAAGAGAAATGGTGTCTAGCTTTACGCCCAATCTTCCCCCACCGGACCAGCAAAGCAAGGCTGAAGAGTACGTCGACCGGGGAATAGATTACAAACATCTCACCGTCCTGACGAACATTCGAATCTTGCCACTACCTAGATTTTTATTTCATGCTTAGTAATCAACGATTACAAAATTACCAAGCGTTGGTTTGTGGGGATTTGATTAGTTACAGGTTTGTTTACGACTTCACATCAGTTAGAGAATCACTGGAAAGCCAGGGAGTACTGTATGGCTGTTTCATTCTGGTTTGTGACTCTTCAGTAGCACCCACCAACTGCTGTTCGAACCAAGGACTTCCCGGTTATAAGGAGAGTTCTTAGACCATTCAACCACTGGGATCCAATCCATGTCAAGTAAGAGATCAGTTACTTGTCTACGGCGTTGGCTGGCCATCGCACTATACATATCGTGAATTTGCAGAAGTTGGAATTTATGGGTTATTGGCTCGGGTTCCAGTGTCTTAGTGGTCTACCAGCTTGCCTTGTAACCGGATGGTCCTGGTTTCGAAAGTCAGTTGGTACGTACTGATGAGAAGTCGCAAACCAGGACGAAACAGCTGTCCAGTACTCCCAGTTGATTTTCCAATGGTTTTCTAACCAAAATTACAAAATTAACAGTGCGTCAACCAAATCATCTTTCTGTTACTATATTTTTGTCGCATCTATGCAATACTGTCGTCTCTCATCATTGTTCGTGATGATGACAGTAGAATGAGCACAGCTCAGTCGCTTGTCATTCAACTCTTGCTTCTTTTTTATTTTCTCCTTAACTCTAAATGTCTCATTTTAACACCATCATGATGTTTTTATTCTTTTCCTCTGTGGAATGTCATTCTATGCATATTAATCGAAGTGATTACGTCATCAACTGATTTAGTTA